AACATACAAGGAATGCTCAAATTGCTTTTTCCGTTCTACACAAGCTGCCGACCCTCCACCCTAGGGCCGTCATGTAAGGAGTATCTGGAAGCAGGGCTCGTAGGTCATCATGCCCTGGGTCGGAAAAATCACCACTGACCCCCAACCAAAAAAAAAGTACTTCAGACTTCGACACATTCGAATTTTCTGTCTCGGCCCAGCAAAATGGAGGGTAGAAATCCACTTGACGAATTTCAAGGTATGTCCAGAATTACTCGACGCGCATGGCCCATACTGAAGTTCGAGAACAGGGTCACAACAAGGAGCAGGCAAAGGAGCAAATCTTTAACTTCGAGACCGTGATGAAGGGTCACAACATGATATTCGATGTTGTGACTTATGTAATCGCCGATCTTTTTCTGCGAGGCGCATTCTTGACCAAGTATAAGGTATGTACCTTCTAATTTACCTATGGACCAAATCTAAGTGATACCATTTGCTCAGACCACCGCAGAACTAGTCGCTGATCGTCGAGCAGAGCTTCCCCTAGACCCAGCACTTGCCGAAGAACCCTTGTACGCGTATTGCCAGTGTTCAATGCATACAAGTCCTGACAGTTTTCAGCTTCCTCGCCATTGAACCTGGTGGGCGTGACTTCAAATCACCAAAGAGTCCTGCAAGGGCCGAGTCCGTGTCGGCTTGTGTGGCAAAATTTGCCAAACTAGCTGGCCTACCAATTGGAGGCGGATATTGTATTCGCAGGGATGCAGGAAACGAGGTGAGCTGTTCTGTCCGACATCTTGCAAAGTATCTTGTTGACGCCCAAACCAAGTACTCTGGGTTGATGGGCCAAGAGACCGCGGTCCTGTTCATGGCGCATGAGATAAAGGGAACATTTATGGAACACTACTCCCGAGGCACAGCCGATCTCAACCCAGTCCATTTGAGACTGGGCGAGATTGACGGAACCCTCGCGTCTGCTCGGGTTGGTTGACCACTTGCTCGCCTATCATATCATCATATCTGATCATTTCCTTCTTGTAGGATATCGAAAAGCGACATTTGTTCTCTTCATGTGCTATTGAAGCCATAGTTCGATTTAGCCGCCAGGAAGAATCCGGTATCGATCCAGAAGTTATCAAGGAGGCAGAGAAGCAGAGATGCTATATAATCGTCGAGGTATGTTGTCCATAGCCGTCGTACATGTTTACATTTTCTTATTACCCTACAGGCGACGCCAGAAATGATGGCTTTGGAGCAAAAACGGGTAGAGTTATGGTCAGGATACGTTGATTGCTTCACAGAATCAGCCAAGACCTACAGCCAAGACCTGACAAACAACATCTCTTTTCTCTACGATCTCGCAACTGGGAAAAAGTTGAACCAGAAAGAAGAGATACCGCCTTTGAGGATCAAACCTGGCAAGGAAACACTGGCGGTTGAGGTGATTGTGTTTTGTGATGTTTCCGCCGCCCATGCTATGTGTTAACCTCGTCAACAGAAACGCGATGAACTTATGGAGTTCACAACCAACGACGTGTTCAAGACACGGAAGCGTCTTCGTAAGAACTACCGGGCTCAGGCCGCCAACGCTGCATCTCATGCGCTCAAGCATGGAACCCTCAGCGGAACCGACCAGGATCGTTATGACGCTATAAACAGGGCCGACGAGCTCTCGAAACATATCTCAGGTGTGGGCGGATGTCATTTCCCTTTGCTTGGGAGTCACTAATGATCAACATAGGTTTGAAAATCACCCCTCTTGGCAGCGCAGCCTCTCGCGATATGTGGGTCGCAGACATCGAGGACCGTAATAACAACCTCCTCCATCACTTTGAGGACACCGAGGATCTTGAGCTTGACTCCGAGATTATCACCACCATTCAAAACTTCACGGGGCGAGGAAAGGACCGAATGCAGGACCCCACGCCAGTAGAAACCCCGGCTGAGCAAACACTCCTGGCCGAAGAGGAGGAATTCTACGTCGCAGCCAATGAACTTTCTGCCGCGGCCACCGAGAGTCCAATCGACGCTGAGACGATAGAGTATGATTTCCTCCAGGCTCCTGTCGAGGATATCCGCTACGCATTCCTGAACTTCCTGGTCGGCCCAGTCCTGGCAGAAAGACAGTTGAAGCTCGATGAGGTAGAATTTTTAACGCTTGTCATCTTAATCAAATTACAATTCTAATCTTTCAATTCTAGCTGCCCAATGGCCAGTGGAACTGCCACCGCTGCGAGCTGTATCGACATTACGACCCCATCCCGACCACCTTACTTCCGAGTCTCGGCGCCCTCAAGCGGCATATGTATGTGTTTCTTGGCATCTTGCTCAACCTGTCTGATATTCTACATAGCAAAACCCAGCATAGTCCATGGGCGGATCTAGAACTACAGATGGTCGGCGCCGAAGGCAAGTTCGTATGCCCTGCTGGAGATTTTACGCAAGTACTCCTTTGCGTGCCGTCTACCCTTCCAGGCTGACAGATTCTTTGTAGCGGTGATTCGGTCGTTCAAGTCAGAGGACATGTTGTCTCCGAGAACTGTGTGGCCGAAAAACAACATCTAGCCATGCTCACTGCTCACCACTCGGCCATTGCACGTCTACACAATTATGAACAAGGTCCCCGACACAATGTCCATTCGAGGAGGGCTCGAACAGACGATAATGGCGGCGACGATGACGACGAGGCTGAGGCCACAACATCAAAGCAGCGCACCAAAAAGGCTCGCAAGGCCGGTACCTACGAAGATGATATCTCGCGTGTGGAGCACTTCTTCTCTTCGGTAACCTTTCCTTTTATTGCTGATATACGTATTGCGCTAATTATATTCCTTGAAGGCCTCTGAGGTTGTGGCTCTTGCTGTTTTGCCTGACTTCCCGATGCTTCAAGAATACATCCCCAAGATCAAGGAAGCTGGCCGACCAGGCGAGTTTGGAACTGATGCATATGAGAAATTGGGGGATTATTCAGCGGAAGAGGAAGACGAGGATGAGGATGAACTCCTGCAAACCATCGGCATGAACTAAGGTTTTCCAAGTCGGCTGTAAATAAATTGTTCATGTTGCTTTGGCCTCTTTTTCAATCAAATTTGAACTTCAACATATCTATTGCATCCTACGGACATGGGACTAGGAGGGTATGGCTGAAAGCAAACAAGGCGCGTGTCGCGCACGTGACATTGCAACGCAACGCGTCCTGAAGCTGAAGCTTGACTGACATTCCACATCATGTCCGTGAGCGATAAGGTTGACGAGCTTCTGGCTATGGTTACAGCAATAACTCCCTTGACGCCCTCTGCAACTCCGAACACAGTAAAATCCTACCGGGAAACCAATAGAATCAACAAGAAGAAGATGCAACAAATGATCTCGCACATAAACGAATCTGGACGTGACGCCGACACAGCACAGGACGATTCTTCTGCAGATGGCCGCTTCGACGCAATCATCCAGTCGCTGGACGTGACCAGGGAAGATCTCAACTTTCCTGTCTATTTCGTGCGACATTTACTTGACAAGGAAACAAACAAGGGGAAACTGGCGGTAAGAGAAGATCGTGGGTTTAGACATCTGTTTGTGGGGTATGACGGGGAGCCTGAAGACTGGGTGCGCTATTGAATAGGTGCATACATGCTATACAAACTGACTGACAACGGTAACATAGGCCACAGTCCTTGCACCTCTGCGTCCGTCCAACAACACCTGGGAGAAAATCTGCTCAGACTCGTTAGCGAACGATGCCACCAAGGACGAGCAGGAACAGCTACTGTTTACGGACAAAACACTCTCATCCATGGCCGTGACGGACCGAGCGAGCATATATGTCGCATACGTGCTAAGGACGGTGCAACTCTTGAAATTTACTATGGCCTGGAAGAGGGTGGAGGGCCAAGCTCGCGGAAAGGTGTGGAGGAGTGACTATATTGAGGCAGCTTTCAAGGTCTCGCACGCCGACCTGCACGGCAGACTTCAGGGCCTCGGTAATCGCTCCGCAGAATACAAGAAACTGTTGAAGGAATACAATTCACAGCTCAAAGCCTACCGAAAGGGTCACTCTCGGGTAATGGTGGGACGCAAGGACCTTTATCATCTATACCAGATCGTGAGTGGCCCGAATTTGGTGTATATTGACTTCTCGACGTCGTCCTGCAGTATGGTCCGATCGTTCTGCTGAATCCGACTTGGGACACTATCGATGTCGAACGCGAGAAACAAAAGGGACGTACTGCTGAGTTTCACGACATCATCACGCGCCTGTGCGAAGAGTGCCCCCTTTACGAAGGCGATCTTGACGAATTTGAGGGCGAGCCGGTGTCCGTGCCCGCGAGGTCGTTTGAGTCATGCTTTGCAGCTTTGTTCCATATAATGCTCAACTTGGCATCGCTGCCTGTAGCAAAGTATGTGTGTGGTTTTGTGGTGGCACACCCGCCTTCGAAGGAAAATACAGCAGGGACCAACTGGAAGGTTGTCTTGGGCGAGATGGTGGCCGCTGCAAAGTTAGCAGGCTCAGGATAGGGAGGAACGACTAACGGCGAGGTGGAGTCGGTAGCTTGAGGGTAGGCGTGGAGTCGAGACTCATGGTGGACTTGTAGTAACTTAGCTTCGGCTTTCTCGAAGACTCTATGTGACATGTTAATCCAAGAAAAAGGATCGAAATGTCACGTAAAATACACCTGTACCCAGCCTTGAGCCTAGCTCACACGTAGGCATTGCAAGCCATTGTGGCACCGCAATTCGAGGCCGTGGAGTAGAGGGCTTCAGGCATTGCAGCCCCTACAATCTCGGAATTGGGTCTCCGGGGGCACGCAGAGGTAATGCTAAGCCCAATAGGATTTGTCAAATACCAGACAACAGAAGTCTCTGGGCATCGAGTCGAACGAGACCTTGGACACGTAACAGGCTGAACAAGGGAGCCCTGCGTGAGTCGAGTATGGGTAGGTCTTCTGCAAGATTGGTGAGGAGACAACGTATGCGGTCGTCGGAGTTTGAATTTGGACCTTTTTTCCTGGACTCAAAAATGATGAGAACGAGATTCGAACTCGCGCCTCCGGAGAGACCAGATAACAAGTAAGCGTTTAGCGCTTTGGTCCTTAGTCTGGCGCCTTAGACCGCTCGGCCATCTCACCATAGACAATCATGTTTTTTCGCTCATCATAGCGACGTAGGCTTCGATGACGTGCTCTTGGGTGGACTTTGGCTTGTGCAACATCCTGCTGCTCATGACATCATCAACCCACTCTGTCATCTCCTTCCCTAACCAACAATGTTGTTGACCATGGCAGGGAGGGAGTTGACAGAGTGGGCTGATAAAGTCAATAGCTGCAGGACATCACACAAGCCAAAGACCGCCCGAGAGCACATCGTCAAAGGACCAGATTACAGTTCTTACACTGAAAGCAGCAGCTGCTTTGATCCTTAGTCTGGCGCCTTAGACCGCTCGGCCATCTCACCGATGTAAACAGATGCTTGGGCCTTAATATAACTTGGTGTCTGGATTGGCGAACGTGCCCCGGTTCCCGAGTCACTGGCCGTGTGTGGGCCTGAAGTTTACAGGTACATTGTCAGGACACTGGAGACTAGGAGACGCCACAATGCGGCCACAGCCGCGCACCTGAAAAGTACTTTAAGTTGGCCTCATCTATATGTGCAAGGCTTGGAAGACACTTCAGGAAAACTCGACTGACCCATCACATGAAGCTCGCGATCAATAGAAGCCTGAAGCCGAGATGGGGAAATGATACTTGGACGCGGGGGGCTATGTCCGAACAAGGGCTAATGCCTGGCTATGACGCGCAGCGCAGTAGCTAACTTTCGGTTGACGGCACTTGGTCGAGCAGAGTTGTAAAGCCTAGCTATAGGCACGGTATGCTCGAAGATCATCGATATCACTGACAACTGAAGTGTCCATAGCAAGACTGCAAAAATACCGTGGGTTCGAATCCCACTGTTTTCAGTCTGAGTCGCGACTCTTCGCTCTTGTACCTCATAGTATGACTCATACTAGAGCATAATAGCTCCCGGATGCGTAGACTTTGTGCCATGATAATATGCTTGAAGAACTGTCAGGAACTATCCAGTAATGTACATAGTTGGTCGTTAAATTTGATATTTGTCTGCTTGCAATTGAAAGCTTTCAGTACTGCCATCATCAGTCTTCGCCACTCTCCAAGTTGAAGAATGTATGCGACTTCTGTTCAAAACATCGGCACTTCGGGCTCCTTCTCGGCTGCTTTTCTTTTCATCTTTTCCACTATACCCTCTCCATGACGTCCAGCCCTTTCCATTCCGACCTCTCGATCATGTCTCTGCTTGACGCGTCTAATCTTCCATAGGCTGTAGTACAGCGTCAATACCCCGCAGATCAGAGTAGAGGCTCCTGTCACTACAATAGTGACTTTGCCGGTCTTGGAGAATTCTCCATGTTGCACACCGAATATATTCGCAATTGTCGATATGAAACCAGCCAGCGAGTTAAGGAGGCCGGGCCTTGAGGGTAACGCTAAATAAGTGAGGTAACATGGTACTTACTGTACGACGCACATGAAAATCCGGTTCACAAGCCAAACATAATTGTACATCCACTTCCACCACAAGTAGCACATCCCGCCTGCGCCGATTCCGCAACATATGAACGCTATGACGAACCTAACACATATTACATCAAGATCACGAACACAAAGTATGGGGGTCGCATTTCGACTCTTACAAGGGAACGTGCGCTACGGCATTCAGGACCTCCCTCCCAGCTTCATTCGTTATCGACGATTGCGTGTTCTGCAAGCTCGTGAACGTTCCTGGGAACAAGACGAACCCTGCCAGCAAGATCCAGGTGAAGAATGACGCCATCATATTGTGCAAGCGGGGGATACTGTCGAGCGCCAACAGCATATTCACGTACTTCGTGTCTATCTGCGATGCTTGATGGAGCTCTGGGAGGGTGGGCTCCGGCTTGGATGTCGACGCGTCGGGACGAAGCATAATGGGTCTAGGGGCCGCAGAGCCAGCCATTGCCCTCTTCACCTCACAGGAGGAGTAATAAAGCCGTTCTGACTCCTTGGGTTTCCCGGGCCCATGTGGCCGCGTGTGACGCCAGCTGCCGCATGGTGTCGTATCATATAAGAATGGCTTTGGTTCGAAAATCGAATCCCACGACAGGGAACGTTCCTCGTATGATCGTACTTAGAAAATGTATATTTCCCGAAACATGGCACAGTAACATTCCTCTAAAGAAAAGGAATCCTCTAAACAAAGAAAGTATATAACGAGAGTAGGGAAATCGAGGACCACGTAATGACTCTCACAACACGTTAGCATCTGCCGGGGTACCGGCTACAGCATATCAGCTTGCCCAGATCGGTACCATCGAGAGCAATTATTTGACCGGTGGGATTGGTAGGGAGTTTAAGGGCCGCCTTGAGGGCTAGGGCAGCTTCGCTGACGAAGTCTAGGGATGCGACGACGGGCAAGGTCGAGGCCCTTGGCGCCAGCGAACTTAGTAGTAACAGCAGCATTGACACCACAAACACAGTGGGCTCCGACGTGGGTGTAGCCGTCCGTGCATTCGTAGTCACAAGGTTCGCCTTGGACGCAGATCCTCTGCAACTGGGGAGGGAAGGTACAATGCTGACATGCTTCGTCAGGGGTATCTACACCTGCAGCATGAGAAAAGCCATACAGTACCCCTGTTTCCAAGCTACAAAAGTAAAATCAGAAGACATGAAGGCGCAGCAAAGGAAAGCGACGAACAAGAAGTTTGAGAGCTGCTTCGACGGCCGTCCAACCCAGGAGGTCGATGAGAACCTGGGCGTTGACGTCTGTGTCAAGGTAGAGATCGAGATCTTAAGCATAGTAAACATCAGAACTGGTGTGGGGGGAGGAGAGGATATAACACATACGTTGAGACATAGGCATATTGTCAGGCCCCCCACAGCTGTGTCTAGGAATCCAGTGAGGCCGGCAACAACGTATCCTTTGACGGAGACACAGACGTCGGCGGGGTCGCGCTGTCAGCACGCTGAAATTGCGCGAACCGGAGGTTTGGGTCCGCGTCGGCTTTTGAATTAGGCCGTGCTCACCAGCATAAAGAGAGGCGGCGAGCCCAAGAAGGAAAAGGGGGGAGAAAATGAGCGTGGGTGCAAAAGAGAGACGCATTTTGGACCAGAAGGTGGAAGCAGGTGGAACCGCGTGGAATAAGCGGGTTGGATGGATGCAACAAAGATTGGAAAGTTGAGCTTGATTTATGCGTTGTGGGCTCGTCGAGCATAGCGATTAAAAGAGATAGAAGTATTGGCGAGATACATGATTGGAACGGAAAATAAAGAGTGATATTGGATGCCGACAGGTTTTTAGCATGGACGAGCCTTGATTAGGAGTGTGAAGCTTGAACGTGCCTAATCACGCCAGCATGCAATCGGAGGAAGACGTGTTTGGCAGTTCATCCATGGGCTGTCGAGCTTCGAGGGTGAAGGATTCTCTGATCATTACAACAGGACGAGGCTGGGCTCGTAATCGATTGAAATTCAAAGAATATTGAAACAACGAATAGGCCGAGACAGAGGGGCGTTTGTGGTGGTGAGATCAGTGAAGGCCAATCGACTTTCATGAACGACATTTGTAGGGTAGTCGCTGACGTCTTCAACTAAAGCTTCATAAGACAGACAGAGGGTGAATGGAAGTCATAGGGCATGGGCAGAAAAGTCGTGGTCGCTTAAAGTTCGCGCAGGGATCATCTACTTGTGGATAGATACCCGACACGGGAGGCGAGTTCCTACAAGGTCACAATAGCCGTTCCACATGAATGGTGACGATACGCGTCTGTCGGTGGAGGACTTGTTCATGATGATGATTCTGGCAAAGTCTGTGAAATGGGTTGCGAAGGAATCCCATTTGCGTCCGTTGGAATCGCCATTGTCGGAGAGGCAGGTGATTGCGTATCCATTTGAGAGTTCACCAATGCCTGTACTTCCTCCTCGTCACTACTCTGGTCTTCGTCCATACCAGCGTCTCTCTCTTTGGACTCATCCCTTCCACTCCCGCCCTCATTCTCATTGTCATCTTCATCCATTTGATCATCCCCACTCTGCGGATGCACCCTCGGGTCCCACTCTAGTTCTTCTGGCTCCTCGACTTCAACCTCCACACGAGCTCGCCAATCGAAGCGCTCCCTCAGCATTATCACAGCCTTCACTGCGCGATCAACTCGACGATCGTGTGCACCCCGAATTTCGTCACACTCGCTAAGCACGTCGATGTACTCGGTTGGCTTCTTGGGCATGCCAAAAGGCGTGGGCGCGGACACAGGTGATGGGGCAAGGACGCCGAGCGATCCTTTGGTAGCCATGTGTTCTGCGAGTCTGCGTACCGTATCATTCTCTACGCGAAGTACGTCCGTCGTTTGCTGATTTCGCAGGAGTGGTATGACCTCGCCGTCAAGCTGAGCATCGGTGAGCACTGACGATGGGTGTAGGGCTACACGTTCGAGGGGGCTTCCCGATGGTCCGGTACGTGAGTTTTGAGATGCTGCGACAGCGGATAGGGTACCAGAAAGACCCATAGAGAATGAATGTGTTTGAGACAGCAGAATATTGTATTTAGAGAGGATGTCAGGCCAGGCAGGCATAGATGCCGTGTGCCCGGCCTCAATGGTGCGCTGTAGGCTCTGGATAGAGTCTATAATCTGACTGGATTTGAATCGAAGAGACTCAAGTTGTGATATCGGAAGTCCGGACGTTGTCAATGGCGCAGACGTAGAGGACGACATCATGGCCTAAGAAACAAAACAAAAACGGAGTTCTCAATCTCACAGTGAGGATTCGTGATTGATTGATCGGCTCGGCAAGGTCCCAGTTGAAACGCTCTCTGTATGCCTGTACAGACTTAAGCGGCTTCCTAGCACTGTGGCGCACTTATTTCTCAGAACATGCAACTTTCAACGTACGGGGTTTTGCCAACAGCATTGACAATGGCAAGATATTATAGATAACGACGCGTCAACTTGAACTTGCGACGCGGCACGTGCCTGGCTGGATGCTTCGAAAAATCGGCTCCTCGATACATTGTACGCGTGCCATCTTCTGCACTCGAAGTAACCTCAGTATTTAATGGAATGTGAGGGTTCTGCTGAAAC